TTGAATAATAGAGGGTTATGTTAAGTTTTGTTGGATATCTGAAGCTGTTTCCAAACATCGTGTAATAAGGGCGAGTTTGTTGATAGTCCTCCACGAATATATTTTTAGGAGTTCATCATTAGTAGTCTCAGAGTAGTTGGATTTGAGAGGGAGATAACAAAAGTTGTGTCATCTGTGAACAGACCAGATTCAAGGAGAGGAGGAAAAGCAAAAGGCCGAAAACACTGCCTTGAGGCACTGCTACAAGGACAGGCCAAGCAGATGAGGTTATGCCATTGGTGGAGACATACTGGCATCTACTGCTAAAACAAGACTTTAGGTATGGAAGGGTATGACCTCTGGCCCCATAATGTCTAGTTTAAGGTACAGGAAGTTGTGGTCAACTGTACTGAATTTTACTAAATATGTACGGAGAACTCTTTGCCATTAGGAAAATGTTGGAGATGTCTGTCTGGTTGGTGACCCGATAACACTGGTGAGATCAAAGCATTTTAAAGAATACGCTTTTTAGTACATACGTAAGTTAACCTTTATTGCCCAAGAAGATACATTAGTTATATTGTTAAGTTAACAGTGTACAGCATTGTATATAACTTAGATTAGATTTTTAGATTTTGCCACCGAAGTGGCTAGTTTATTGTGCACCCCATATCCATCCTGTGGATGGTAGCGCAAGAGCATATGGATACACAAAAGGCCCAGGAACTAGGTCCCAAAGGGTTAACAGGAATACATATGGATTTATATCTACATATCTATAGTTCACTTATCTGCTACAAGCAAATTTAGGAAATTTGCTTAGTATATCTGGTATCTTATTTTTATTAATAAGATATCTTGACATGTCACATAGGTTATTATACTGTCTGTCTCTGTATTCTTCAATAAGTGGACAATTAAGCACATAGTGTTCAAGACAGTGACCATATGCCTGATCACATAATTTACATTTAGTTTGATCATCATCTGTGTGTCTCCCAAACTGCCAGAAGTACTCGTAACCAAGCCTAAGCCTGGCCACTACAACATCAGTCAGTCTGTTCACATTGCAAGTTGCTCCATAAACATACTTATCTACGTTCATGTTTTCATAGTGGGTTATAGATCTACTCAGGCTTCTTACTGCATTCCTATAACAATCATTTTCATTATTTACTTCTCTCCTAATATTATTCCTAATGCTAGACACAGTTATACCAAAGTTATATTCTACATTCTCCTTCTGGGTACTCTTCTTGGCTAACATATCAACTTTATCATGAAGGAGTAATCCAATGTGTGATGGGATCCATAGCAATTGTACATTAATTCCTTTGTCCCTAATTTTTGAGTATCTATACCTGGCTTCTCCAATGAGCATGTTGTTGGAGTCATTATATGAGTCAAGAGCCTTCAATGATGACATAGAATCAGTAATGATGATAGAGTCAAGCTCAGTGTCATAGGTTAGCTTTAGCGCCATTAGGATTGCAAACCAATTCAGTTTGCAGTGTAGACGCCCAGTTGTTAATTCTTATGCCTAACTCAACAAATTTATTATCGTTTTTAACAAGGGAGGTGGCAACAAGAGCAGATGCAGCCCTGCCAGAAGACTCCTGTTTAGATCCATCAGTGTATATAACTTGTGATAACTTATTACTACCAGCTAGGTGAGAAAGTGATGCATAACATTTTGGGCAGCTTTAAGCTAGGACTAATATTAACAGTATAAAAATAAACTTTTGACTCCAGGAGCGAAACAAAGTTGATGAACTGGTTAAACTAGCATTAAATAAAGTGAATGTCAAATGTAACACTGATTTTCCGAACATTAGTTTGAGACCCAGTGTCAGGAAAAAACAGAAAACATATTTGAAGTGACTAGAACAGTACAGAAAGGAGCTAGCAGATCAACTGTCCATCTTAATGAAATGTGTCAAGTTAAACATATCTATGGAGAAAGTAAAAAGATTAGTAGATTGCAAGATATTGTTACTGCTAGACAAAGGCTAGGCTATACGTATCTCTGGCAATACAGTTTGTATCGAGATGACAATGATAAAATGCAAAGTGTGTGGATAGACAGGGGCCATACACTTGGAAAAGTATCTTAATGTGCAAACATCCAACCATTTAGACATTTCCAAACAAACCGCACAGGATATGGTAAATCACCTCATTACTACTGATAAGATATCTAAAATCTTGAGATTATATCCACATACTGCATCAACAAGACGAGTGAAATGATTTTTGACAAAGGTGCAACCCAATTATGACCAATGCTTTATTAGTGTTAATAAGATACCTAATTTTTTGAGGTTTTACCTCATTATAATGTGTACATTAGCTATACGTATGAAGTACAGTATGCAGGAGGGCCCTGTTTTACAGCACTTCACTTTACAGTGTTTCACTAATGCAGCAGTCTTTGAGTACAGTCATTCTTCATTTATTCATTCAGACTTCCTACAATAAATACATTCACCACTCACTATAAGTTAAAGATGAAAATATTTTAAGGCAAGTAATGTGCATACTGTATATGCATGTTTTAGACTTGGCTCTATTGCTCACTTAATATATAATATAGTAAACATGTTATCAAGCTTATATATGCATTTGAAAGTGAAAAAGACTATGCTTCACTTTACAGGAGTAGCCTGAAACCTTACCTACTGTATAAGCGGGGCCCTCCTGTATGACTTTGTTTTTGGTGTGATGCCCGTATGTTCTATTGTAGTTTTTCAGGAAGTATCTTAGGTCAGCACCAATGTGGTGTTTTAATATTGTGGAATGAACAATGGTGTATATGAATGGACTATACATGTAGTAGGTTTAGAGATTTGAATAAGGGCATAGTCTGTTGGCTAAAATTTAAGTTTGTGATGTTTCTGATAGATCCCATTTGTTTTGTTTGTTAACTGGTTTGAGGTGGACAGCTGAATTATAACCCCAAACAATAATACCATAAGTGAAGCTTAGGTAAATGAAATTAGTGTTAGTAGTATAGACTGGGGGGCACAACAGCAGACTCTGGAGGGTATACCAATAGTTTTTAAATTTTTAAACGAGCTGGATATGAGCATCACAAAGTTTATGAGCAACAATTCCTTAAATAAGGACACACAGGGCAAGTGACATTCTGCAAGTGTCTGTACCAGTGAGAAAATAGCTTTAATTTTGAGTTCTGGGCTTGAATTTTTTATTATGCAAATAGAGACAGTTATACTTTGGGTCGTAGGAAGAGGGCTCATTTTTTTTTTTTTTTGATAACCCACACATACACACAACCTAGAATTTACCACAAGATTACGATAAGAACCTAAGAATGAAGGACAGCAGCAGGCCTACTGGACTTTGCTAGGCAGGCTCAAGTCACACTCACTCAAGTAGTACTTGTCTAACAATCTTAAAGCTTGCCAAGGTTATCACTTCAGTGACACTAAGGAGTTTGTTCCACTCATCCACAACTCTACATATTACCAAACCAGTGCTTTCCTATATCCTTTATAAATCTAAATTTTTCCAACTTTAATTCACTGCTGCAAGTCCTGTCTTTGTTAGATATTTTTAGTATGTTATTTATACCCCCTTTATTTACTCGTCTTCCATTTATACACGTCAATCATATCATCCTTAATTCTATGCCTTTCTAGAGAGTGCAGATTCAGTGTACTCGACTTATCCCTGTAGTAAAGATTTCTGATACATGGGATCAACTTTGTCATCCTTTTATGCATGTTTTCCAGAGCATTTATATACATTCTGTAATATGGTGACCATAACTGCACATCATAATATAAACGAGGTCTTACCAAAAATATGTAGAGTTGAATTATAACCCCAAGGACACATGTTAATTATACTTCTTAATATGAAGCCAAGAATTCAATTTGCTTTATTGTGACTGGCTTTAGATTACTGCTAACCAGAACTTCTCAATCATTTTTTGCATTCAAAGTGACAGATCCATATTATTAAGTTTGTAAGTGCCATGGATATTCTCTTTTCCCAGGTTTAGAATTTTACACTTGTCTACTTTTGTCAACATTTGCCACTACTCCAACCACTACATCAATTTATCCATATCTAACTATGGCAGTGTTATGTCCTCATCAAAATTAATCCAACGACTTTTATCGGCAAACTTAATTATGTCACTATTTATAGCAACATAATCTGTAGTGGAGGGAAGGCGGGGCAGGGGTCAGCCTAGGAAAGGTTGGAGGAAGGGGCTAAAGGAGGTTTTGTGTGCGAAGGGCTTGGACTTCCAGCAAGCGTGTGTGTGTTAGATAGGAGCAAATGGAGACAAATGATTTTTAGAACCTGACATGCAGTTGGAATGTAAGCAGGGTAATGTTTATGAAGGGATTCAGGGAAATCAGCAGGCCGGACTCGATTCCCGGAGATGGGACGTACAGTGCCGGCACTCTGAAGGAGGAGTGTTAATGTTGCAGTTTTATAACTGTGTGTAAGCACGCCTCTGGCAAGACTGATGGAGTGAATGAAAGTTTTTCTTTCTCGGGCTGCTCTGCCTTGGTGGGAAACTGCTGATGTGTTAATAAAAAAATAAAATTATAGCAACATAAACTATTTTTTTTTTTGCCTGCCAGTGAGTGGGTCTTGCCCATACACATGATATACCAGTCTCCACTACACAATCACATGATATTCAAGAATTTACATAAAGAGGTTATTACTCTGCTCAAAACCAAACCACTAAACTTAATATTAATCAAACAGTCCCTTCTTTTTCCTGGTACTGAAATAACAGTGCGGGAGAAAAACAAAGACGTACGTACATTTATGAAGCAGATTCAGATTATTATTAAGATAATCGTGGAAGAGTGCTAAACCCATAGGATTATACAGCACATGTGGGGGGGGAGGTGGAAGGTATTCAGGCTCAATTCAGGGAACTGGAGCAGATCTAATTCCCTAGATCAAGTGCCCTTCACCAGCATCAAGGAACCTCCCTTGAAGGGGGAAGATTCAGAGAAGAGATTGAGTATACCGACCTGAGTACTCGAAGACGACGAAGTGTTCTGAGAGGCTGGGGCACCTGAGGATTTCGGGCAGCTATAGTCATCGCCATTCTCCAGAGCTGCTGCCTTCTTCCGCTTGGTCTCCATGGGGCCCGTCGGCTCTACTGGAGACATTGGTGTTGAGCTGCGAGCTTGTGCGGTCCCCCGGCCTCCCCCGCGTGCATTCCGCAGTTCCCTCCCATTAGGGGCCTGGCACGACCCGCTTCCATAGGAGAAGGCTCTGGTCACATAAAATCCAGAGCGGAGTACGTAGCCTCCACACTGGACCAGAAGACACCCCAGAGCTAAAGTAGAGAGTGTGGAGACACAGTTGGGGGTATACACGGCATGGCATGGGGCGAGAAGGTCCACGTCTAGCCTAGCCCCCACACCAGCCCTAAACAGCACCACTAACACTTCTCACTCATTTACCACCATAAATTATCTTCTCACCTCCACACACAGGCTCCCGGTAACTTTATTTCGACAATTTCGCAGGAGTGGGCGGGTAGGTTATGGAGAGGAAAAGCATGGTACATTAACCCAAAACTCCGCCACCTACACAAACCACCTGACTTTTACCCTTCTCTCCTCCATGTTACTCCATAATTGAGTATCTCTCGCTCTTCTCCGCCTCACAGCACAACTGCTACACCCGCCTCACACTCCACATGCACCTCACAAGACACGGCGACCTGGTAAGGGCGTCATACATGTAGAATCGATAAGTTAGGTTGAGTAGTGTTGGTTGACGTCATGCCGCCACAACCACCAGAGGCAGACTGCTGCGGCCATTTTCTCTACCACTGACCTTCCCTCCCCACCCATGTCTGCCAACCTTACTCTCTCACTCACTCTACACTTATTATTACACAACACACAAACACATTCACAACACACATGTACACACACACACACACACAAGGTGCCACAACTGGAAGTTGAAAATTCAGATGAGTTACAGGGATGTTAGGAAGTATTTCTTCAGCGTTAGAATTTTCAGGAAGTGGAACAATCTGGAGTGTGATACAATGGAGGCAGGATCCATACATAGCTTAAGGAAGAAGTACGACAAAGCTTTTGGAGCAGGGAGAGAGTGGACTTAGTAGTGACCAGTTAAGAGGCAGGGCTAGGAGCTGCGACTCGACCCCTGCAACTACACACACATAATTAAGTAAGTTTATTCAGGTATACACAAATACAGTTACATAGAATTATCATACATAGCAGCATTAGTGTAGAGAACCTAGGATAACCCAAAAAAGTCAGACAGAGTGACTTATTTCCATTATTATTACTACTACATTGACAACTCTCACATACCATTTGTGCTATTATTAAAATTTTATTTACTTTAAAAACATTTAAGTGCTATAAGGTTACGTCAATAGTGTTTTTTACCATCCACATTTTTTCTATAAAAACTGGTTGAACCGGAAATACATAATTATGTACACCGTTGCAGGCAGATTTATGCTAGGATTAAAACTTCTTAATGTTATATAGTCGAAGTTGAATCACTGTACTCACCTAGTTGCAGTTACAGGGGTCGACTTACAGCTCCTGGCCCCTGCTCTTCACTATCCTCCTATTTAACGGATTCCTATCATTTTACACACTATCATATCTCATGGCTGGCTTAAAGCTAGTTAGTTTGTTAGTTTAATATGTTTATTATGCACCCCATACCCATCCTGTGGGCGGTATGGCTTAAAGCTGCTTACTGAATCCACCTCTACCACTGCCTCATCCAGATCTTTCAACATTCTAACCACACTCAAAGTATGTAAGTTATCGCGTTTAGCTTCCATCACTGTCCACTTTTCCCTGGACCTTTTTCTTCAGATAGTGTCCCTATCTGCCCTCTTATGTTTAAACATAAATAATATCATCTTTAATTTTCTTATCATCTAAGATAGTTAGGTTTAACTCGATTTGTCCCCCCTCTCTCAACTCATAAGCTATTCTAGTTGCGAATTTATTAATTTTTTTCAATCTTTTGGACGTTTTTGATCTGGAGTGAGCTCCAAGCAGGTGCTGCATACTCTTTATTGAACCTAATGTACGATATGTAAAGCATTTTAAATTTGTTGAGGTTTCTAAACACAGTTCTTGTGTTCACCGTCTCAAATTTCTTTACTGATGTACACTTCTAGTGACTGCTCAGTGTTATACTTCCTCCTAAACCCTCCTTGGCTGTTAATTTCAATATTTTTTCTCCTAAGTTTTGCTCAGTGTTTTTTTTTTTTTTTTATTCACCGGTATTCTCCCGGCCCGGGTCTTTTCCAAGTAGTGGTGACCCGGCCTTGGCTCCCTATCTGGGGAGTCTCGAGACTTAAGTCTCCCATGGGAGGAGGTACAAGTACCTCCTCATCTTTGGGACCAAGTGTCCCCAGGCCTAGCCACATTCCCCGCCCTCACGGGGCTCGTAGGGAGAAGCTAGGCCTCTGGTCTGCCATCTACCCCGCCTCAAAGGGGCTCGTGGGGATGGCAGTCTTATGAGCTGCAGATGGTAGCAAGCTCAGACTCACAGTGTTTGTTCTTCTTTCCCGACGTTTTAGTCTCATGACTGTACACTTGCTGGGGTTGAAATCCACTTGCCAATTGCCTGAACATTTCTACAGGTTTCTCAGGAGTTCGTCCCTAACTACATTTGTTTAGATATAAACATTTCAGCAGCCTTAGGTCATTCGCAAACAGTGATATGTATGATTCAGTTACCTATGATATTTTCATACCTGGAAACCATACCCCCGGCCGGGATTGAACCCGCGGTCATAGAGTCTCAAAACTCCAGCCCGTCGCGTTATTTGCGTTTATTTGCAATCGTGTCATTACGATTTCTTGAGTCATTCATACCTGGAGTTTACCTGGAGAGAGTTTCGGGGGTCAACGCCCCCGCGGCCCGGTCTGTGACCAGGCCTCCTGGTGGATCAGCGCCTGATCAATCAGGAAAGGTACCAGATTTAGTGCTCATTACTATCGTCCAATTAGATACGTTGTTTGGTATGGTCTGATCATCTGTGGTGTATTTCCAGCTATATCAGTTGTGATGTTACCAAATATTCTTTTGTAGGTATCCTTAGGGATTACTGCAGTTCCTGGGCATTGCGTATATATTTATTTTCCTGATGTTTCTATTAGGGTAGCACTGGACTTTGTCAGTAACAGCCTTGAACAGTTTATATGTATTATTATTATTATAATCAAGGGGGAAGCGCTAAACCCGGAGGGTTATACAGCGTCTGGGGATGTGGAAGGCATTCAGGCTTAATTCGGGGAACTGGAGCACAGTTGAGATAAGTATTGTAATAAGTCAAAGGCTGTAGAGTAGCAGCCAGGTGATTCAGTCTCCACAGTTTATGATACAAGATAACGCCATCATGGAGAAGCTACAGAGACCGTCACTTCTTTATATACTATGATCCTGACTCGACTACACCAGCCAAGGAGTGGAGGAAACACTGGTGTTGTACACTACTTGCACAAACTTCATCGAGGAATGTGGAGACTGCCACTGATCACAGCGTATATGAATTTATTGACTGCTATACAACGTAATCAGATGCAATATCTGTGCTACAGGTTCACACTGGCCTGTTTTAGGACTCACCTGCCATGGGTTCGATTCCCACCCATTCTGTGATTTCTATGCTGCAGTCTGTATTTCAGAATATTCAGTGAAGTCTTTCCTAGACAGAACAGTATCGTGAAAAATTAATCCGTGATGCGTTCATCAACGGTATTGCCTCGTTGTTAGGTAAGACACATATGCAACAGTTAGACAACTTTATTCCGAAACGTTTCGCCTACACAGTAGGCTTCTTCAGTCGAATACAGAAAGTAGGCAGGGACAATAGAGATGTGAAGACGATGTAATCAGTCCATCACCCTTGAAGTCGTAGAATTTGAGGTTGTCAGTCCCTCAGTCCCTCGCCACTCATCCTCCCACGGCTTGTACAGGATAGAACACTTGATCTACAGAGCACATACAAACAGGCCTAGTTACTGGATCTGGCTTTGCATACTGCTCATGCTTATTCATCTCCAAGAATGCGTACTACTGCACTAGTTGTTTCTGAGTAGTCTCAGTCTGTGGTGGACCATTTCATATCAGTAACAAGTGTCCAGTACGTGATGTTACCTGCAATAATTGCAGGAAGAAAGGACATCTTAGTGTGCTGGTAAAGAGCATCGGTAAGTGCTTCTGCTACACTATTAGACCAATAGCACTAACATCCCATATCATAAAAATCTTTGAAAGGGTCCTAAGAAGCAAGATCACCACCCATCTAGAAACCCATCAGTTACACAACCCAGGGCAACATGGGTTTAGAACAGGTCGCTCCTGTCTGTCTCAACTATTGGATCACTACGACAAGGTCCTAAAATGCACTAGAAGACAAAAAGAATGCAGATGTAATATATACAGACTTTGCAAAAGCCTTCGACAAGTGTGACCATGGCGTAATAGCGCACAAAATGCGTGCTAAAGGAATAACAGGAAAAGTCGGTCGATGGATCTATAATTTCCTCACTAACAGAACACAGAGAGTAGTCGTCAACAGAGTAAAGTCCGAGGCAGCTACGGTGAAAAGCTCTGTTCCACAGAGAACTTTCACGGCGCGCATAACGGAGATAAAACACCTCAATTACTGGGAGCGCTTGAGGTTTCTAAACCTGTATTCCCTGGAACGCAGGAGGGAGAGATACATGATTATATACACCTGGAAAATCCTAGAGGGACTAGTACCCAACTTGCACACGAAAATCACTCACTACGAAAGCAAAAGACTTGGCAGACGATGCACCATCCCCCCAATGAAAAGCAGGGGTGTCGCTAGCACGTTAAGAGACCATACAATAAGTGTCAGGGGCCCGAGACTGTTCAACTGCCTCCCAGCACACATAAGGGGGATTACCAACAGACCCCTGGCAGTCTTCAAGCTGGCACTGGACAAGCACCTAAAGTCAGTTCCTGATCAGCCGGGCTGTGGCTCGTACGTTGGTTTGCGTGCAGCCAGCAGCAACAGCCTGGTTGATCAGGCGCTGATCCACCAGGAGGCCTGGTCACAGACCGGGCCGCGGGGGCGTTGACCCCCGGAACTCTCTCCAGGTAAACTCCAGGTAAACTCGCTCCCATCTTGTTCCTCATCCTCATATCCGACATAGACAAGGATGTCAGCCACAGCACCGTGTCTTCCTTTGCAGATGACACCCGAATCTGCATGACAGTGTCTTCCATTGCAGACACTGCAAGGCTCCAGGCGGACATCAACCAAATCTTTCAGTGGGCTGCAGAAAACAATATGAAGTTCAACGATGAGAAATTTCAATTACTCAGATATGGTAAACATGAGGAAATTAAATCTTCATCAGAGTACAAAACAAATTCTGGCCACAAAATAGAGCGAAACACCAACGTCAAAGACCTGGGAGTGATCATGTCGGAGGATCTCACCTTCAAGGACCATAACATTGTATCAATCGCATCTGCTAGAAAAATGACAGGATGGATAATGAGAACCTTCAAAACTAGGGAGGCCAAGCCCATGATGACACTCTTCAGGTCACTTGTTCTATCTAGGCTGGAATATTGCTGCACACTAACAGCACCTTTCAAGGCAGGTGAAATTGCCGACCTAGAAAATGTACAGAGAACTTTCACGGAGCGCATAACGGAGATAAAGCACCTCAATTACTGGGAGCGCTTGAGGTTCCTAAACCTGTATTCCCTGGAACGCAGGAGGGAGAGATACATGATTATATACACCTGGAAAATCCTAGAGGGACTAGTACCCAACTTGCACAAGAAAATCACTCACTACGAAAGCAAAAGACTTGGCAG